TTGTAACTGTGATCTTTTTATACTCTCAACACGCGCGTGACGATTTTATAATCGCTCGCGAGAAACTTGTTTGTGGGCGTTCTTTTCAGCATAAGAATTCGTAGCACACAACAACGATATTATAGGAAAGCCCTCTATTATGAGATAAATTTTTAATAGCAGGTTTTCAACACACAGATTCAATCACAAACCTCTTTTCGCAACGATTGCACAATCTAATGAATTTTCCACTAAACAGATTTCGCTCCAAGGGCAATCAATTCATGGTGGAATCAACTGATGATGTCTATTAATTTAACAGAAACCCCGCCATCCCATATTAGGATTCTATCTCATATTAGAGAACTTTCCTATATCTGCGTTGAATATGTATATATTAAAAGGAAGCTATTTTGTAATAAGAAGTAACAATAGTTCGCCTATTACATAATTTAACAGAAACCCCGCTATCCCATATTAGGATCTTATTTCATAATAGGGGACTTTCCTCTATCCGTGCTAAATATAAGGATGCACGTTTAATATATAATTAATATATGTTTTGTTATGCGACAGATGTATGTACAATATATTAATTATTGATATATACACTGAATATATTGAACAAAACGAAAAATTTAACATTTCTATTACTTTCTTGCAGAACAAACAGAAGTCTCTTCATTACCTCTGTGCATCACCATCAGCAAAGCTGATTATTGGTTTATTATCTCTACACATCAAAGACACATGGTGTGAAGAAAGATCTGACAAACGGCTATATTTGGCAATGCCTTAGAATTTTGTTTTTCTACAGTGACGGTTTTTTCAAAGTTTTCAGGTATGTACTTGGTATTTTTGGTCAACTGTAAATTCTCAGAAGTAACGTGTACACCCTCCGGCACAAATGCCGTCCCTATCCGTATGAGGCGCACGCATACAAACAAGGAAACGACGAATTCGAAAGTCGCGCCGCAGTCGTCCGACGATCGGATTAGTCACCCGCTTGTTTGTGTGTGTGCGTCTCACACAAATAGGGACGACATTTATGCCGATGCGTGTACATTAGAACGTATTTATTATATCCATGTGTGTTGTAATTGATTTGCGCATGTATTAAAATGCTTAATTGTTAATCAGATTATATCATTGATAAATATGATTTCTGTTGTATATATTTTCTCATGTTTAATAGATGTGATTGATTATATGTTATGCGCAAGTCAATTACAAACATGATTATTCATGTGTGTAATATTGATTTGTGCATAACATATACAGGGTGTTATGTAATACCCGCATCAACGCTTATTGTGGGATAGAGTGGACTAGACTAAGTCGAAAAGTCCTCTACCATTTTGCAATTTTCGCAAAAGTCAGCGAGTTATTAATTATTAAAAATCGCTGTTTTAGGCCCACGTGCGGCGAGATCGATCGATCGTTACTAGGCGCGCAGAGAGTTGTAACGATCGATCGATCTCGCCGCACGTTTGAATTGGGCAGTGGGCCGGCCTAAGACAGCGATTTTTAATAATTAATAACTCGCGTGGAAGACTAACTCGTAGAGGACTTTTCGACTTAGTCTAGTCCACTCTATCCCACAATAAGCGTTGATGCGGGTATTACATAACACCCTGTATATAATTAATCAGATCTATTAATAATGAGAAAATATATGCAACAGAAATCATATTTATTAATAATGTTATTTGATTAATAATGAAGCACTTTAACAACTGATAAAAATTTATTTTCATAAAAAAATGACTAAACTGGCTATGATTATAATAGTATTATAGATCACTTAGTAATAGCAAGTTT